AAATAAAGTTTTAGAGCACCGCTGAGGGCCCGGTTGAGTGAAAAACTACCGAGCGTCCCGAAATCCCAGGGCGCTTTTCTCCTGCTGGAGAGCGCAGGTAGTACAGTGAAGTTTGCTCGGTTCTGCGGTGCCAGCGAGGCCACAGTCATTTAAATAACCCTGTTACAGAACTGGCCCCGCACTGAAGTCCTTTAACGCTGATGCTCTGCTGTGCTGCTGCTGCAGAGCGGCGTTTCCCCGCCGTGCCCGGCCCGCAGGAAGCGCCGCCGATGGATGCGGACATACCTGCTGGTTGTCGTCTACGGAAAGCTCTTTTTCAAAATGATACTTGGAAACTGTGCCACAAAACTTCCTTTGGCATATGGGCAGCGGCGCAGCTGTCTCTGTGTGTCACTGAGAAAAGTGAATCCGCTTCGAGCGGCGTCTGGGGAAGGAGCCGCGCTTGTGGCAGCTGGAGCGTGGGAGCTTCTGCTCAAGCACGGGAGGCTCCAGCTGCCGACGAGGGGGGTGCGTGCGGAGGGGGAGCTTCCATGGGGGCTTGCTGCCGGTGCTTACGGGCTCTGGGGAATCGGGAATGAACCGTGGGGCTGCGGGACTGCAGCGCGGGGTGAGGCTGGCAGCGATGGACTGGGCGGGTGAGTCCGGGCACCCCGCAGAGGCTGCAGGAAGACCACGCACAGCACAGCAGGCTGTGGAAAACTTGTGTGGAAAACTTTTTGCATGTAGCGTGTTCTTTCGTGGCCCATGGCACAGGCCAGAAAACAGGGTGGAAGAGGTAGGGTGTGATTAGCCCAGCACTTTTAAAGAATGTATGTTCAGCAGCTTGCATTTTGGAGGTGCTTGCATCTTGACTAACAGGCACCAGGCTTCACTGCAGCTTAATTTCAAGTAATCTCCTGAAAACTGGTTAATAGCATAAACAGCGCCTGTTAATTTTATTACAAAATAACTTTATTTTAATTTCTTAGTCTAACATACCACAGCAGGCCATACTATCAGATAGATCACAGTTTTTAATCTTAATGACACTGACTCCTTTCTAACACTACTGGCTAGCATCTCTTAGCTGAAGTATCAGAACTGCTGCTCGTACCTTGAAAGTCAGAAGTAAAATACTGCCCACCAGAAAGGCACATCTTGTTGCAAAACACTCTCTTTAAGATCTAGGTAGCTGGGTAGAGCAAGTGCTGTTTGTGAAAAGAGTCATGGAGTCCTTTTTACCCATAGATAGCCTCTGGGGAAATCCCTTAGTCATGAATTAGGTGAGCAGAGTATTTCAAAAACAGTATGAGGGATTTAGAAATAGATTAGAGGTAATAAAGTTATAGAAATGGAGAGTTGTAAAAACTTATGCCTTCTCATATAGGGTCCATAAACATTTTCTCAAGCAAGGTTATTGTTTAGCTTTTTGTTTTGCTACACAGTCTATTTTATTTTGGAAAAGTATAATAATCTGCTGCATTAAACATACGAAACCACTGATTTTTTTCAGAATGTATGGCACGAGTTAAAGATCTTAAACATGTACTTGTGTGCTGGACACAGCCTCTAGTTGTCTTTATTGTCCCAAACATTGTATTTTAATTTGAAACCTTCATTGGTTGAAAGTTTGCCAAATGTGTAATTCGCCACTGATCTAACATTAGGAGCAGGTCTAAACATGCACAGTAATACGAAGGTTGCCAGCCCTTTGCTTGTATCTGTGGATACCAAAAACAGCAGAACCAGTTCAGAATACTAGAACAACAGAATGCAGAACAAAATCTTGTTGTGCAAGTTTTAAAACTTTTATCTGTGTAACCTTTGTAAGGACTGTAGTGGGGGGTTTTTTGTGTTCTGTAATTAAGTAGCTCAAGTCCTCATGCTCCACTCTGTTTCGCTGTGTTTCCTTTTGCAGTATATATAGTAGTGATGATGATGAAGAAGATGTTGAGGTGTACGATCACGATTATGATGGTCTGCTTCCTAAGACTGGAAAACGTCACTTAGGAAAAACCAGGTGGACCCGCGAAGAGGTAAATCCAAGTTCATTCCTCTCCTGCACGTGAAAAGATAAGAGAGAGCATGGATCACATTCTTCTCCAAGTTGCTTCATGTTCTTCACCATATTGCTAAGCTGCAAACTTCAGTGACAGTCCCATATCTGAGGACAACTTTTTTGACCCGCTAGCTCCATTCAGTGTTTTATTTAACTTTGAGCATAGTTCTCACCTTTAAAATAAAATGTACAAACACGACTTTTTAATTTCCACCAAGCTCTGCGTTACAGTGTGTGATGTGTGAATCTCTGTGTAATCCCTGTTGAAGAAGCAGATTCCGAATCACCTGTAGCAGTGCTTCATTGTTGCTGCTTGCCTCTTTCTGTTTGGAAACTGTTGCTATGCGAGAACCGACCTGTGTTCAGTGTCCCACAGCAGCAAACAACAGCGGCAGAAACTGCTGCAGTCCTTCTGTACCATTGGAATTTTGCACTTTAATTGCACTGTTATGATTCCGAGTGGAAATAAAGTAAAGGCTGGAGGAGAGAAATCCAGCAGTACCAAAACAGAGCATTCAAGATGTATTTTGCTTTTCAAGGTCAGAACACATTTTAGTCATGATACCCTTGTAGTGACTTTCTGGGAGAATTGTGGTGTCAGACTCCTTTGCCAGGTGAATCTCCTTTGGCCATTTAACTGGTTTGAGTTTGTTGTGGAATACATTTATACAGGTCTTGAGTTATGTTTTGACCTTCTCTTCTCTAACAATGTGTATTGATGTAAAAACAGTGGCAGGTCACCCCTTGCAAGCCTTTTATTTATTTATTTTAAATCACAGTCTGCCCTTACAAAGGTGGATGTGGTTGTGATGTGGCCAGGGAGGAAAGGATGGCCATGAAATCCATTCCTGTCACATGAACTGGGAGCATACTGGGAAGTGCTAACCCAGTATGTAAGATCTGTTTCTTTTGTCTTTAGGGTCTATATTTCTGGCCTTATCATTAGAAAGATTGGGCCAAATATTTTGCTATTTGTAACTATGCAAAACTCCCTCACAGAGAGCTGGAGCAAAAAGGAGCTGTTAGTTTTATTGTGCATTTATTGTAGGTGGATAGGCCTTGAGCAAATCACTGGAACTCCCATTACTTGCAAGATGCATAAAGCTTAAGGCTGTGATGTTCAGAGGTCCCCAGGTAGCTGAATGCCTGGGTGTTACTAAATTTCAAGGTTATTCTGATGCTTGGCATCTAAATTCCCATTTCCTCCTGTAAATCTGGTCCAAGAATAACAGTTACAGTGCTTTGATGAGTAAAATGTGAATGTATATTGTGAGTCAAAGAACTGCACAGAAGTCAGTCTTTCTCCTACAGCACAGTAAAGAACCTACCAAAATCCAAAGGGGTAGAAAAATCTTCTGCTTTAGGCAATTAAAAGCATGAGAAGTCTGCAGGCCACCCTTCTTTACACTCAGAAAGCAGAAGTAGATGCATAAGAACAAATTTTAAAAAAAACACATTTCATTTGGATTACAAGAGATTGCAATATTTATTATATCTGGGTTTTTTGGTTTTTTTTATGATTCAGGATGAGAAGTTGAAGAAGCTTGTGGAGCAGAATGGCACAGAAGACTGGAAAGTCATTGCCAATTTCCTTCCTGTAAGTGGATATTGGTTTCTGTTTCTAGGCTTAGTAGCAGCTCTTTATCAAGGGGTTTCCTTGATAAAGGGGAAGAGGAATGGTTGCTTTATAGTTGTATTTTCAGGGGAGATTTAAAACTTCCACAAACATAGACCTTAGAAATTTAGTTAGATTACTGTAGAAACCCTTATAATTAATTTTTTCTTTTGCTTCTCATAAAGAGTTGGATAATATCAAACAAGCAAAAATGAGGGATAGTGGGTACTTGCACAGTAGATGGTCAATGTGACAATGAGACAAAATATCTAAGCACAGCAAAAGGAAATAACTTTAGTGAATTGTAAGTATGATTTTGAAGCTAATTGCTTAGTGAACAGTTTGGCTGTTGCTGAAGTTGTGCATGTGAAAGCATGCCAGCTAATGTGCAGATGGGGAAGATAAAGTTTGTGTAGTTTTGATGATGGAGTCCTCAATGCAGAAGTGATGGAAATCTTACCTATTCTGCGAGCAAACTGATAGGTGACCACCTTCTTCTCAGACTTACTATATCACTCTATGTTGTTTAGTAGTCTTAGTTGGCAGTGAAGTACATCAAAACAAGTGTGTGTAAATAAGAGCATTCTCACTCTACTTTCATCTTGTCTAAAGGATTTTCCACTCTTTATATTTCCCATTTCACTAGAATCGGACAGATGTTCAGTGCCAGCACCGATGGCAGAAGGTACTAAACCCAGAACTTATTAAAGGTCCGTGGACTAAAGAGGAGGATCAAAGGGTAATCAGTTTTCCTTTCTGTCTGATTAATGCCTTACTAGCAGATTTCAGGTGTTGGGGCAAAACTCCTGGAAACTTTGGTGGTCTCAGCATTATTATGGCCAGAGGCAGATTGTATTTGTGTAGTGCTTTCTAAGTTTGCTGTGCAAATAAATTACTGCTGCTTTACAGCACTGTAATGTAGAATTGCAGTCTAGAAATGCCTTAACTATTACCAGATTTTTCCTTTTGGGTAAAAATATGAATGGGAAGTGGGGAACCTTAATTGCTATTAGTTTTGCTGTGGCAGTTTTGAGAAATGTTGTTGAAAATATTGCTTCATCACAGAAAAAAAATTCATTGATTCATCATGCATCATTAAATACAGGCAGTTTTTATGTCCTTCTTTGAAGGTAATAGAGCTCGTTCAGAAATACGGTCCAAAGCGCTGGTCTGTCATTGCTAAGCATTTGAAGGGAAGGATTGGAAAACAGTGCAGGGAGAGGTGGCACAACCATTTGAATCCAGAAGTGAAGAAAACCTCCTGGACAGAAGAGGAAGATAGAATTATTTACCAGGCACACAAGAGGCTGGGAAACAGATGGGCAGAGATTGCAAAGTTGCTGCCTGGACGGTAATGACATATGCTTTTAGCTCTTAAGAAAGGAAAAAAATGAAAAAGCTGCAGGTCTGAGCAGTCTGTTTTGGTCGCCTCAGGCTGCACTGTATAAATCAAAAAAAATTTGGAATCAAAACCTGGGAAGCCAGTGACACTGATGTGCGTTTTTCTCTGTGGGGAACTTCACTGTTTGGTCAGTACATGCAACAATCTGCTATTTTTACAGGCTTTTAATGTTTGCCATAGGTAAAATGCCAGTAACTGGAGCAAGACTATAGGAGTTTCCTAAATGTATGTGCAATCTTATTTGTGCATGTGATGACTGTCAACATTTAAATCAATTAAACAGGGAAGGATCAGGCTCTGCAAGTAGATCATAATTTACATTCAGCTATGGGTATGCCTTCAATATGAAATGTAGCCTGTCTATTCAAAATGATTTAAGAGAAGGTTTCTTCAACTTTTGTAATTGCTCTTGAATCATCCAGATGATTTTGACCTGTTAAAAAAAACATGCGTAAAGAAGGAGAAACTTTTTCTTCAAACTCTGGTCCTGGAAATACTTGTCTCATGGAAAGCTTTTGTACAGCTTGTATATAACCTCAAAGATCCAGTGTCTTATTTGCTGTGATTAAAAGTGACTCAAAATGTGGGCAAGCAACTAATGCAAGCAAGGGAGAGGTTTCCCTTCCTTCTTTTCTTCCTGCTATTTGACAAAACATCTTCAAGACCTAAATATAAGCCCCAAGATCATGATGGCCTTTCAAGCAGTCATTCCCTAGGCTGCTTTCACCTTCTAGAAGATAGCAAGAAAGGAATTAGCCCTTGGGAATATTTTTGTAGCTTCCACACATCAGAGATGCTTCTTTGAATGATACCATGCAGTGGTGATGTTTTTCAAATAGCAGAGTTGTTTTAAATCTTACTCCTAAAATCTCACAAACTTGGTAAGTTTGCTTTTCCTGACTCATATATGTGAGGATTTGAATCTCAGTTTTTCTGCATCTAAGAAAAATCCCAGCAGTTTTGTTTACAGAGTTTGTGTACAGCATGATGTTGTTGTTGTCTAGGTGACCAGCTGGAAAGTTGCTTGGAAGTTAGTCTGTTCACAGCTGTTCTCCACAGTCTTTCTTTCCATCAATGAGACACAATAAGACTCCACTGAAATATTAAGATATAGGAAGATGATGCTGGCATTCTTTTAGGAGAGCCTCAAAGGGATGCTACCCTTTGTTGTCTCCTCACTTCATGGGAATGAGGTGAAGATGAAGTTAGAAATTTCTTAAAATTTGAGGATCTAAGTCACGAGGGATTGCTTTAAAAAGTACGTAAACAACTGTAGCCTGTTTTTCTTTTTCCCTAACTTTTATACTGAGCATCTTTCCTGAGAAGTAGGGAGTAGCATTTGTAGTGGTGGGGGTAGGAGGAAGGTCAGAGAAGAGCTCAGGGTTCGAACAGAAATGCCGACAGCAGTTCCCTGCCCACTGACCTGTCTGAATTGGAAATGCTCATTTTTCAAACTCCTCTGTATTTCTGTTGCAGAACTGATAATGCTATCAAGAACCACTGGAACTCCACCATGCGCCGAAAGGTTGAGCAGGAGGGCTACCTGCAGGAGTCCTCCAAAGCCTGCCACTCCTCAGCAGCTGCTGGCTTTCAGAAGAACAACCACTTGATGGCCTTTGCTCACAACCCATCGCCACCCGCCCAGCTGCCGGTGGCCAGCCAGCCCCCGCTGAGCAGTGACTACCCCTACTACCACATCCCTGAGCCACAGAACGTAAGTGCCTGAAAACGTCAGCGTGCTGGGGGTGCTTGTCTTGCCCTCTTGAATGGATGGGTGCCATTTACCCATGCCTGGTTTCAGCATGAAGGATTTTCTTTGTCTTGGTGGACCTGGGTGTGTTTGATGTCAGATGAGGATTTCTTTGACTTTTACTTAAGTTCAGTGGTGGAAATAAGTACATTTCAAACTGGTGCTGTTCAAGTGGTGGAAATGGGTCCAGCGGGTTTAACGCCTTGGGAGCAGTTAGCTTATTTCTTACAGCTGTGAATATTAAATTTCTTGAATATCTGTTGAATCTGGTTAATTCTGTGTCCCATGTCAAAATCTCCCACATGCTCTTTAGTAGTACTCTGCTTGTGGGTTGCCTGTCAGAACCAAGTGAACAAGTATTGTTTTTAATTAAATTTCTTTTCTATTAATGATTAATAACGAAATCCTGCTTCAGACAGTTGCATTGTAGAGTTTTAGATGATAATGTATTGCATCTTTTGCTTTTTCACTTCAATTTAGAAAATCCTTACAAATGTGTCTATAAATTATTCATCTTGTCTTGTTCAGGAAAGGTAAATATTTCATATATGAAATATATTCTTTCTTCCTCTCTAATGCTCACTGTCATATTCCTAAAAACTTGATTACTTTTCTTGTAAACATTTTTAGGTTTTTTGCTATTTCATCTCCACAGACTACAAATATTGAGTACCTAAAGCCAAAGTATGTTTAACACAAATCAAGAATGCAAGCAGATGATATGATGGAAATAATCAATTTTTGCTTTTTGACCTAGGTTCCTGGTCAGATCCCGTATCCAGTAGCACTGCATGTAAATATTGTCAATGTACCTCAGCCAGCTGCTGCAGCTATCCAGGTAGATAACTTGAACCTCATTTCAAGAGTCAATTTCTTAAATATTTGATAAACTAAAATGCAGACATTGTACATTAAGGAAACATTTAAATGTATTAAGTGTGGTGAAAACAGAAAATGGGGAAGGTCGGGGAGTGCTAACATGGCTAATAGTTGCTCCTTCTGAAGTGGATTTAAAATGCAGTAGTTGACATCTGGTGTGATGGCTTTCACTTTCTCCATTTCAATTGTCTATACTGAAATTCAGCAGAGACTTTGGTAGTGGAAAACACAATTGACATTTGTTTCATCTTTGAATCTGATTTAGCTGTTATAACCACAGGTCGGCAAACCGTGAGCATTTTAGTTGCTACATCCTATCAGACCTTTATCTTTTCTTTTCCCTTAACTCTTAATTTCAGAGACACTATAATGATGAAGACCCTGAGAAAGAAAAGCGAATAAAGGAATTAGAGTTGCTACTAATGTCGACTGAGAATGAACTGAAAGGGCAGCAGGCATTACCAGTAAGATTGTCACTGTGTGCTTGGATGGAGGGATAGCAGCCTTACCCCAGTGCTTGTCTTTTTAACTTTTTACTCCCCCTCTGCCTTCAGTACTAATCAAGGCTCTATATTTCCGTTTTAAAAGGATGAAACATAGCACATATAAAATCTGTATCTGCTTCGTAAATTCTTCAATTGAAAAAGAAAATCCAAACATTTTGCAGGTATCTTACTTTGCAAAGTGGGAGCAGGATTGGGCTCTGTAACGTGATGTAATATTGGAAACGTGATGATTGTACAAAAATTGAAAATCCCACAGACCTTTAATCAATAATGGGATCTGTGTTTCTGAAAGTGTGCAATGGTTCACATGATGAAAATGTAGTGCCTGTGCATTAGATTTTTCTTCTCTGTTACATTCTTTCCTTCATCTGTGTTTTATAAACTTCATAAGCTTCAGACTTGGTGCATGTTTGAGAATTTGTTTTACTCCTCCAAATAATGTTAGATTCTTCATAACTGCATGTGTGGAGCAAGTGCTGGCTATTACTGAATTCTTGTACTTCACTATATATGCCATTGGATGTTAATGTGTGAAAACCCTTGTGTAACTACTTAACACCATTGCCAAAGCCAAGAATCCCAAAATCATTTTTGAAGATAGGTGATAGCCAGCAGAACATTTTTTTTTTTTTTTTTTCCCTTTTGGGTAATAGTTAAATTAATAGTAAAAGAACTGCATGCATGATACGTTAGTTTGGCCACTTTTTAACTTTAGTTAATGTTTTGCAATTTCTTCTGTTGCATGATCACACTGGAAAGAAACTTCTGTTAATTTGTTCTTCTGCTTTCCTAACCACGTTGATTTGACAGCCTCTTCATTGCATTGGTGTAAGCTGTAGCATTAGACAGGGATAGCAGAAGAAAAGGAGATAAGCAGACAAAAGCAACTCTAACTCTAAAAACTTTTAGCCTTCTACGGTGCTGAGCGCTCCGTAGGGAAATCCTGCCGTTTCTCGCTTCTTACAGAAAAGGACTTGCAGACACTTTTTGAGCACTTGGAGTAACAAAGTGTGAATTGATTATGTGCTAGTAATGACATATGCCTATAATCCTGGAAGTAAATTATGAGGTAACTTTGGGATAACAAATACAATGCCAGTATTACTTAAAACAAGATCTTGCACTGATGAAAGGAAACATCTTGACAATTGTTTCATAGGCATAAGCCTTTAGATGATGATGCAACTACTTTTATCTTTCCTCCAGTGGCATCTGACACCTTGTGCAATTTCATTGCTAAGTTCCTTCTGCCTTTCCCCCCTCCCTTTTCTTCTTTTTTTTTTTTTCCCCCCTCTTCCTTTAGACACAGAACCACACATCAAACTACCCCGGCTGGCACAGCACCACAATTGCTGACAGTACCAGGACCAGTGGTGACAGTGCACCTGTTTCCTGTTTGGGGGAACATCACCACTGTACTCCATCTCCACCGGTGGATCACGGTTGCTTACCTGAGGAAAGTGCATCCCCTGCACGGTGCATGATTGTTCACCAGAGCAACATCCTGGATAATGTTAAGAATCTCTTAGAATTTGCTGAAACACTCCAGTTAATAGACTCCGTAAGTAGACTTGCTGCCTCAGGTGGATTTGTGCATGGTCAAGGAGCAAGGGGTGAGGAGCTGGGATTCTCCTAAATGTGGCTGTTGGTTTTTTTCCCCGAGTAACTTCGAGTTGCTCCAGGATCTGAAGCTTATCTTCTGACATGACAAAGCGCAGCTGCTCGTAAGTGAAGCCCTCAAGCATGGGCGCATATGCTTTTTGTGGGTGTCTCCCTTTCCTGCTACATCTTGGAATGGGAGTGTGAGTTTTGGCAAGCTGCACAGTAGGAGCTTGAAACAATCTCTCAATTTTAAGTCTCCTTAAAATAAAATCAGAGATACCGTGAAAAATTTTAAACAACGAGATGGTATTTATTGATATTTGAAGTCACACGTGCCATAGGTTTGTGTGTGGCTGCTCATGTATCTGCATCATTTTCTAGAATTTTTAGTTGTAGCCTCAATAGCTGCTTCTCAAAGTTTAAGGAGCTTGCCCTGGCATATGTGAAGGACTGTAAACACACATTTAAATGTCAGGCATCTGACTGACATGGGCCTGTTCTCATTGCAGTCTCTGGGACGCTAATGTAAAGAAGTAGCACATTGAAGTACTTCTGTTGGTGGCAACCTCCTTCAGAAGCAGAGATGTCTGCTTCATGCGGTATCATTTCCCTTTCAGCCCGTCCAGAGCAGCATTGCATGTTAGGAGGAGGCCAGTTTTGGTCTACAGCACACATTTTTTTGTAACAAAAGGCACCGTCATCACACCAAGCAGAAAACACTGGGCAAGCAAATAGTAAGGACATAATTTGGCTCATTTGTTAGGGACTCAGTTGCCAGCAACACTAGTAGGATGTCAGACAGTTTGATAAGATCAAGGTATGTTAAAACACAAATTGTGTTCACAGTGTTGCTGCTCCCATGAACAGGGTCAGGCTGAACTGAACTGGGAAAGACTTTGTTGTTGTTGGTTACAGGCATATCCTAGCGCTGTATTTTCATGAGGTGGCACTATACACTGTCTTATAGCTCCGTGCCTCCCACGTTGTTTCAGGATCCTTCATCATGGGGTGATCTCAGCAGTTTTGAATTCTTTGAAGACACAGACACTCCGGCTAGCAGAGCTCCCTCAGGCACAGTCGCGCAGCTTCAGCAAAGAGGGGCCAGTGCTTGTAGACCTCAAGGACAGCCCACCACAAATTTGAGCAAAGTCATGTCGAGTCAGGGCTCTCTTGGCTCACCAAAGACCTTATCTGCCTCACAGGGCAGTGCGGCTCCGTGGGTCCTTCTTCGCAAAAGGAGAGGGCACTGCAGCCCCTTAGCCAGTGGCCACGGTAGCACCTTGGTCCTAGCTGACGTCAGCAGCTCAACTCCTCCTAAGCGCTCCCCTGTCAAAAGCCTGCCCTTCTCTCCCTCGCAGGTAGATCAAGACTTCTGCACAGATGTTACTAATTCTCAAAAGTCACCCCAGTCTTAACAATTTAGAAACTAATCATTTGGAACAAATGACTAATTACCGTTGTGCTTGTTGATTTCACTCCGTGTTTGAATCTTCTCACTGCTCCTAGTCTTCACCACTGAGTTTAGTTAATCAGCAAGTTAACTGTTGATTCTTGTTTTTAAATTCATCTCTGGGACTTGGTTTTTTTGTGTTTTGGTTTTTGCCTTTTTGGATCTTTTTTGTAGGGGAGTGTGATTCCTTGCTTTACTCTTGCTGCTAACTCCAACTCCTAGAGTTTAACATTTGTGATCACCTGTGATACTTTCCATCTCTGTCCACTTGCAGTATGATTCACTGACCTAGAAAACCCCAAACTGCATTTAAATAGCATTCAGGTTGTGAGACAAACTGACAACAACCAGAAAATTCAAATCGCACTTGCCATCCTCTGCCCAGGCCATGAGAGTTGGAGTGGAATAGGAATGAGGAGAATGACCCTTTAAAATGGCCTGGCGTGCACTTTCAAATTCCTGATGATGGTTGCTTTGTTTCACAGCTGTAGCACTATTTAAAAGTGTTTTGGATTTTTTGTTTGTCTGCGTTGGTTTGCTTTAGTCTTTGATGTCAAAGAAATGTTATTTCGTGCAGGATAGTAAAAGATTTCATGTAATGATTTCCCACTGTATTTCCCATTTCCTAATAGCTATTTTAATCATATGTAATTTTTCCAGTGAAAGCCAGATTTTCTTACCTGCCACATTTTTATAAAGTGGCAGATCGAATCTGGAAGGGAACACATTGAATTGTTGTCAGAATAAAGATATCACTATGCTCACAAATTTGTAGATGCTAGAAATAGAAGCAATATTTTAGATTACTAGGTAGAACACATGCAAGAGCAATTTTCTCCAAACAGATAGTGCTGCCTCTTTTTCAGTCAGATGTTTCCATTCCAAAGCGTTCCACGCACCCATCAAAGGTGGCAGCTTTCATTTTATGCTCTGAAAATGAAGTACTTTCTTTGAGAGAGATGATAGGAAATATGTTTTCCTGTCATAAACACTTTATTTACTGCCTTAAAAGCTCCTAGATGCCCCATATAAATATTTTTGGAATTTAACCCTGCTTCTTGTGAGTTTGTTTCTGAAACATTCCTTGTTCATTTTCACCCAGTTTCTTGGTCACACTGGTCTCAATTAAAATTTATTTGGAGAAAATCCAAATCAGGCTCTGGAAGTGGTAGAAAGTGTTTCTCATTGGAACAGTCATTTCCTTTAGAATTTCCCTCTCTAGCTTCCTGAGCCAAGCCATTGAGCATTTTTTCACAATGCAGTCAGGTACCCAACATACCTCTGCTCTCATCGTAGGGTCAGGAGAGTGACTCATGTCAATCAGAAGAAAAGAATTTATTTTTCTTTCGTTCAATAATGTCAGTTTAAAAGGTCAGCCATTTAATCTTTTCCTTTCCACACGTGCAGTTCTTAAACACCTCATCCAATCATGAAAACTTGAACCTGGACAACCCTGCCCTCACCTCCACGCCGGTCTGTGGCCATAAGATGGCAGTGACCGCCCCGCTGCACAGGGAACAGACTTTCAAAGCTCAGAAGGAAAACCACGTGTAAGTCCGTTGTCTTGTCCAACTCATGAGGGTCCATTTCTTCACACTGGCATGCTGCCAAAGTTTGCTGGGTCAGCAAATGCTTTAGGCTGTGAGAGGGTGGGTTTAGATTAGATGCAAGGATAGAATTCTTTACTGAGAAGGTGGTGAGGCACTGGAGAGCAGGCTGGCCGGAGAAGTTGTGGATGGCCTGTCCCTGGATGAAGCCCTGGGCAACCTGATCTCCTGGAAGGTGTGCCTGCCTGTGGCAGGGTGTTTGGAACTAGATGATCTTTAAGGACTGTTCCAGCCTAAACCATTCTATGATTCTATGCTTCCTGCAGAGTCGTTTGCTCACACATTCACATTTTTCTTGGGTGGGAGTAAAACTTCCGCTTTATGAAGGTAGGTTGTTAAACCATGCATATAGGTTCTCCAGTTTTTAAAATAAAGTCATTGCACTCTATCACAGTCAAAGAGATGTTCTGCTCTAAAGGCAAAATGGATTATAGGATCGCAGGGAAATGTTTTCTAAAGTCTTATAACAATACTGCCTGTATGCACGCATTTCTGTAAAGAGGTAGTATTTCCAAGCATCTTCCTTTAAAGTTCCTCTCCTTCTTTTTAAAGTTTCAGGACTCCAGCAATCAAGAGGTCGATATTAGAGAGCTCTCCAAGAACACCCACTCCATTCAAAAACGCACTTGCAGCTCAGGAAATCAAATACGGTCCTTTGAAGATGCTGGTAAGAAGGAAACAATGATAAAAGTTGCTTTGATAATAGTGCAGAGGGATGTTCTGGGACTTGGATATAACGTTTCTTTCTTTCAGCCTCAAACTCCAACTCATCTTGTAGAAGATCTGCAGGATGTTATCAAGCAGGAGTCGGAGGAATCTGCAATAGTGGCTGGGCTACATGAAAGTGGACCCCCTTTGCTGAAGAAAATCAAACAAGAGGTAAATCTCAAACTTACCTGAGGCAATTTAATTCAGAACTCTTTGCTGAGAAACTTATAGCAATGCCTTTTCTGTTAAATAGCTGTGTCTGCTTTTCTTTCATGTGAGCCCCAAGATCTTAGTGTCGGTTCCATATAGTACACTAGGCATGTCTAATTCATCTCCCATTGATTTCCATAGAAGTCTTTCTGCTGTTTTCAGCAGGGGTTTGCTTGGGCCGTTCTAATGCAGTTTTCGTTTGAAACTTAAAAAGAAAAGAAAAATTAGACATGAATTTGGATTGAATCTTTCAAATATTGGTGAAAAGTATAGAAGAACCCCATAGGGACCAAGCTCCATGGAGTGACTTAGAAACCTGAACATTTGAGGACATTGCATTATATTACTTTGTCACTAAAGTTCTAAAAATACATATATTCTCAATCCTTTCTAGGGGATTAAACTCCTGAATACTGACAGAGCACTGAGTGCAAGTATTCAAAGTTTTATTAGATGGGGATTTTTTTTGGAGAACCTTGAACTTTTTTCTTCTGCAAAGAGCAAGGCTGCTGTTAAAGATGTGACTGTAAACATGCATTTTGCACCTCTGTGAAGAATATTTGTTAAGCAACTGACAGAAATCTCCTGGTCAGTTATGTAGTGGTTGAATGGTGCCTTTTCTTCTTGCAGGTGGAGTCCCCAACAGATAAAGCTGGAAATTTTTTTTGCTCAAGCCACTGGGAAGGAGAAAACCTGAACACTCAGCTCTTTACACCTGGGTCTACAATGGAAGATGTGCCAGTAAGTATAAGTTTTCACACCATCAAAGGAATACTTTGTTTTACATCCCTGTTTGATTATTAAATACTAGAGAGAGTATTTATTTTTTTCTGATTTTCTTCACAAGTAGGCTTTATTCCTTATTTCTATATCATTTTCCTGTACTAAGCTTAAAAAGCAAAATGCTACTCTTAATTATCACTCTGATAACTATAGAAGGTTGCAGAAGTTGCAGTCATTTTGCAGCCCACAGACTTTGAAGAGCCTACACTTGAAGGATGCCTGCACCTGTGTGTAGAAATGACTAGATCTCAGAATTAAAAACTGGTGAAAGAGAGAGAGACTCTCTCGGTTTTTGCAAAGGAGACCTTGCATGAGCACAGTTCCCTTTGCATTGCCAGGACTTATGGGCTATTCAGTGTTGCTGTTATTCTTGAACTTGTGATTTGCACTGGATGGAAAACCTTTGCACAGGGCAATGCTCCTGCAAAGCCAAGTCCCAGGGACATAGGGCTGAGGTCTGCTCCTCATCTGTGGCTGTGCCCAGTGTAGCAACTTCTGCACTCAAGCTGAGTTTACTTACAGTGCATTCCAGTTCATGTTGTTCTCATGAGTTGCTGAAAACCTTTTTCTTTTCTCTTTTCCTGTTCAGAATCTTCTTACCAGTTCCATTTTAAAGATGCCTGTGTCTGAAGATGATGATAGTTTTCACGAAACAGTTGCAGTACCTAGAAACAGGCCACTAGCTAGTCCTCTACAGGTAATTATTTCTTGATAAAAGCATCCATATGTATAGATATTGCTTTCTCACAGACCAGTTTTAAGTTTTGGGTACGGAAGAATGAAATGTTCAGATGAATGTGGCTGAGGATCTCACTTTGCCTGTGGAATATGAGAGCACAGTGGCTGCAGCAGAGCCAGGAAGCTAAACTGGACACAGCTCCATGTGTGGGGCACTGTAACTCAGATGGGTGCAGTGTGAAATTGGTAGGACTGAGAATTAATGTGGGCCAGAGGGGTTTTCTTTCCTATAGACTTCTTGTAAGTGGCACTGCTGTTTTTGGAGATTTGAGTGATGTGGTGATGGCCAGAGCTTGTGACTGGCCCTGGGGTGAGAGGAGAGACTCCAGCACTGCCGGGCTGGCACAGGTGTGGCCAGTATTGCCCATCCAGCCCAGCACCAGGATGGCCTTTCCCCAGTGCAGGCTGAATGTGTAATTGTTGTAAGTCAGATGTCAGGCTGGGGTTTATGTGTCTGTGCTTTTGCCAAGTGTTAACAAACACAGACATTTGCTGTGCTTTCAAACAGAACTGTTGCACAGGGGCCGATCCAAAGCCCACCAAGGTCATTAGCAGCCAGTTTGGCAGCTCTTGTGTACTTTAGGTGGAACCCACTGCAAGTCATTCAGAAAACGAAACATAATTTCTGTATTTCCGAGGTAGATGACTAAGTGATTTCATAGCCTTTCTCCACTTGGGAGAACTAAAGGAAAGTGTCTCATTCCCCAGGGTGAGTCACTGGCAGGAAGGAAATTGTAACTCCATAGTTCCTGACTTTCAGACGAATAGTCCACATGGCTAATCCTTTCTTTCCTCCCTCTTTCCAGAATTTACATTTGGGCTTATTTACAGTAGGCAGGAATGAATTAAGGCTGGTTTTGATTAAGCATTTCTAGCCAGGCATTAAAAAAGGAGATAGTAAAATTTCACACATGTCCCCATTTGGCACAGTTTGCCATGGAGTAGCCTTGTATTTTGTGCTGCAGAATCACTTGATGAAAAACAGCTTTGGAGAGCAGGGACTAGGACTCCCCTTGGCATGTGGGATCTGTAGGGGCCAAAGACTCACACTCAGCACTGTTTATCTGCTCTACCCTCATGACCTGTGTTTCTTGGCTGCACTGTGGTTGACAGCCAAGAGAAGGGTTTGCAGATCCGCTGTCCCTGATCTAGGGCAGTGTATAGGGACAGAATTCAGACCCACCTGGTGGCAAAGGAGCCTGGGTCCCCAGCTTTGCTGGGGCTTGCTGCAGCTCCCTGGTGGGTGTGTGGGAGGAGGCTGCTGGTCCCCTTGAGCTCAGCCCTGCTGTGCCCCAACACCCGTCTGAGAACCGTGACCCCAGCCAAGCTCCGGGCTCCTTCACAGATTTAGGACAAGATTTTCAGGTAGCTAAGCAGCATGGGCTGTGTGTTGTCCAGTTAGTGGTAGTTGCCTGCACTCTGGCTGTAATAAAAAAGAAGGATCTGAGAGGTCTGTAAAATGGGATCTTTTGATCTTTGGTGTACCGGTGTTATGTTTCCTGCTATCTAAAAATAATTTCTTTACAAGCTGCTGTAAACGAAAGGGCTTGTTTAACCTTCTGTCCTCGCTCATGCTGATTTTGTTCAGGAAGTTTACATGAGTCAATTTGTGGATCATTCTGGACTCAATTCTTCAGTCCTTGGTCAGGAAAACCATGTTAAAAGTCAGGTATGCTCATTGTTTGGATAAAGAGGACCTTTTCTTAAGTAGGAACTGAGTTTAAAAGGACTTCCAACTCCTCTCAGTGTTTAAAGTATGTTGAACTGAAAGAACCAGTAGTTGTAAAAAGCCCCAAAATGAATAGTTAGTATGCAGCTTCTTGGTGTACAAGCATGAAGGTAAAATTGTTCTCTCTGCTGATGAAACATTGAGCTTTTCATCTGAAATGTAATCTTAAGTGAAGAATGAGGCTTGAGGTTTCTGTGATGGTGGCACAGACAGCTTTTTCAGAATGAAATACAGACCTTTTATAACAATGCAGCATTGTCTGCCAGCGGCTGCACTATGTTTTGGACTTGGTGTCGTGGTTAAAAGTAATGGTAAAGCTACTTGGCTTCTTGTCAGACGGGAGGAGTGTGGCTCTGTGCAGCTCAGAAAGGACGTGTAGTCTGGCTCTGTTTCACAGCAAAAGCTGCTGCTGCTCTGTCCCTAACGCTTCCCCTCCTCCTCCTCAGTGTAAATGGACTCGTGATTAGGGCATAGCATGTCTAAATGGTGCAAAGCCATGGAAAACATTAGCCTTTGTGCTTGCTGTTGTCTTTACTCTTTGTGTCTTGTACATGAGCAGATTTTAGCATGTTTTAGTGTCCTGTGCTTTCTACCCTTCCGGGCTTGAGTTTGGTATCTCACCCTCATACATGAACACATGCACAGACACAAATTCTGGTCTAAATCCACTGCTCCCATGAAAGTAGACATTAAACATGAGGGAACTCCTGTGGGTGAAATTTAATTGTGTCTGCATATGTTGACATTGCTGCTGCAAATATTTTGGGCCTGATCCAACAGTTCTGACTTAGGCAAATTCTCACTGACTTCAGGCCAAGAAAGAATTACGGCAATCTCTGCACCTTGGGATCTGTGCATGGACAGGGAAGAGAGAAACAAAGACAGCACTTAACTTAGGGTTTTTTTTTTAATGTGCTTGGTTCTTAAAATTCCATTTTCTTTTAAATTGGAACTTAGAAAAGAAGGAGGCAATATATTTACCAGCCCACGGTTTTCCATTGCTTTAATAATTTGCACTACATTTGCACAATGATATTTGGCTAGCGAAAAACTGATCAAAATCCTTGATTACTTATTGTTTTGCTGTTAAATTCCAAAGAAGGCAAGAGTAGCAAATGTTCAAACACATCTCTAATGATATTTTTTACTGCATTTTGGGTACACGACTGATCATATGCCATTTAGTAAATAGCAGCTGATGACCCTATCAGATAGCACAATATGATTCACCTTCACTTAGCAGGAGCAGCACGTTGCATCATTTGGCATGTGAGGTCAGGTAGCTCCATATAACACCACTGGATTTTAGTGCTGTCAGTGCTGTATAGAGCAAAGGGAGAAGAAGCCTTTGTAGACCCAAGAGGAGTTTGGGCTTTATCCTCGTTCAGTCCCCTGTTAAGTCTCCCTAAGTCATTGGCTGTAAAGGCAGTTTTGTGTAAGATCTTTCTGGTAAGGTGTGGAGGTTCAGCCAGCTCTTTTGTCCTGTCTGAAAAATCTCATGGTTGTGCATTGAGTATTATCAGACTGGCAGGAACAGGAATGTCTCACCAATCCCACATGTTGCCTTGGGGTAGACTTACTCTCCATTGCATGGTTCCCAAATATTTCTGCTTTGAATTCATGGGGTTAGTTAAAACCTGTATTTCTGCACCCTATATTTTTGTCACTTAATTGCATGTCAGGGAGATTTTGGTCTCACTAGCAGCTTTTCCAAGGGTTAAGATTTTGGGATAACATGCTCCAATACCAAGACAAACAGATGATCTGTACTGAGCATGTGCTTGAATTTTGCCTTGTAAGAGGTTACATAAAAACCCCTCTGTTTCTGGCCCTTCCTATGTCAAAGTTAAATTTTATTTCACATTATGTTCTGTAGCAGTAGCGGTACATAATACAAACTATCCTAACATAGACATTTTAACAGATAGAAAAGTAGGCTAAATCACAGACCTTCCACCTAACCCTGCAGGCTATCAAAAGACACCATGAAATAGAGCCTTTTAAGAAAATAGCACTGCTTTGATATCTTCTTCCCCCAGTAACAAAGGAAACAACACAAGGTAGAAGCCCTGCAAGCTAAAGAGAATGTTCTTCAACCCCGAGCTCCTGTCACTTTCCATTTTTTAACCACAGACTGACACATTTCAGCTCGAATTTCCTGACTTTTGGCGGTTTATGTAGCCATTTTCTTCAAAGAATAAGTTTAAAGGATTTTATAACAGTTACTTGGTTAACCTTTTTTCAGGTGTTTGAGCTGTCATGAAGCTTAATTTTCCCGGTTTAAAAAGTGAAATGCTGTTTTATTTGCAGCCGGTTGTAAGACGAAGCGGCCAGGAAGGCAGCATGGTCTCCTGCAACAGCAGGCTTTCTCTGTTTTTCCTCCGTGGCTTTTTGGGGGAAGAAGGTCCTGAAATCTCATACTTTTCTTTGTTTAACCAAGGGAGAGGGGGAAGCACCCTGTGTTTGAGATTTGTGCAGCAAGGGAAGGTAGCCCCACAGGTTTCCCTCGCTTGTGTTGCCCCTTCTCTCCCCAGTGACTGATGTGTATAGGAAGGAGATGGGCTTGCCACAGCTGAGGGAGCCAGAGAAGGTCTAAAGTTACAGGCCAGTCATTATATATTTTCCTCCCAGGTAAGCAGAATTTGGGTTCCAAACAGATTGGAAGTTAGGGCTGCCCTGAGCTGGTGATGGTCTCTCTGGAAGAAAAGTGACAGCTTAACTATTATATATAAAATAATATAATATAATATAATATAATATAATATAATATAATATAATATAATATAATATAATATAATATAGTATTTACATCTTATACATTAGCAGCAATGTATGCTGGTCTCTGTTGGGGGGGAAAAGAATATTACTTAAGGACAAAACTAGAGAGGGGAAGAATAGGATTGCAGGTGCTTAGCCCACTTCCATATCTTGTCCATTCATCTTACTTGGAAAGTAAGATACATCTTGAGCAGGAGTTTTATCTGAGCAAGAACTTCAGGGTTAAGCTCTTAAAAATGCCATCAAATAGCTCTTTCTAGCTCTGGTATCATGCTTATAACAAGAGCTGAAAAGTTGCACCATCTAATTCTTTCACATTTAACAAACTTTATTTCTGAGCAACTTGGAAAGCCCCAGAGTTTGGGAGAAGTCTGTCCTGTGCCCCAGAAGAAGCTAACAACAGGGGTAGGAATAATGGTCTGTCTTGTCAAACGAGATAAAAAATTCATTTATGGTCACTTTAGTTTTTAATTAGTCTTTACTGTCTTGTCTTGATAAGTAAATGGGTTTCTTCTGCCAGTTCTGCATCCTTACAGAATAGAAAGCCGTGTTATTCATATGCTGTCTATTGTATTCTGCTAGGAAATTGTTATGCTTAGTGTGTTGTTTTACTGCTTCAGGAGCGCTGCATTTCTGTTGCAAGCCTCCTTTTCAGTGGCACATTCTGCAGACAGTCTATGTCATGTAACCTAAGGGAAAGCTGGCAAGAAATCCAGATTTTTGCATGAGGGAAACATGGTAAGAGACCTTCTAATTGAGCATTTAAAATATTTTAAATACACTAGGTTTTTTAAAATTATTTTTAAATACCAGCAAAGCTTGACTAAATTAGTGGGAATGTTTGTAACACCACTAGCTTTGCTGGAGTTGCTGAAGCTACCTGCCAGCAGAACAAAGATGTAAAATCTGTCTTCTAACACAGTTCTTTGCCCAAGGATTTCTACTAGGCTTTGATCAGTTTGGGATCTCAGCACTGCAGGACTGCAGCAGTGTTTGGTTTTGGCATTGGCTTCTAACACAAAAGGTGTTGTAACACAGGAGCTTTCTTAAGCTGTAGAGACAGCATATGAAAAGGCAGTCTGGGCTACAAGAGCAGAAGGACTAGTTCTGTTAGAAAAGCACTTTTCCACATTGTTTTCTTCCCTTACTCTGGTCTGTTTTCTCTAGATGGTCCAAGTTTTTATTTAAAGTGCTTTAACTGGATATCCCGGTTACAGCTTTGACAGTTTGTTTACAGTTCACATTTGCCTGAGGGCAGCTGAAGGCATATTACAGGATAAATAAGGTAGTTTTGCTGCCAGGAGAAGGATGTACTGGTAGGATTATTGAGGTTAAAAAAAAAAAAAAAAAAGAGAGAGAGAGAAAGAAAAGGGACAGGGAGAATGACATAGCTGGAATTGTACCATAGATCTGTAATTTAATCCTATGGGAGCTTGCAGTACTACACTTTCTTCTCTCCCCCCCCCACCCACCACCCTGATTTAACTTAAAGAGAGAAACTGCTGTGTTTGGAAGAGAAAAATACAGTGGAAGTACTGTCTGAAAATGTTTAAATTCTTTTAATTGGTAGCAAAATTAAGACTAGTCTCCTAGTCTGTAAGTCAATGAAAAAATTGTGTATGTGGAAAGAATTTACTGTGGAAATCGCTTTCACTTCCTACTGGCTAGGTATTTAGGTGCCAAAACAAACACCTCACTCTTACATGACTGAATTTAAGCTGGATGAATCCACTGGATCACTGAAAACATGTCCATCAATTTTGATGGGGTTTGGGTCAGTCCTTCTGGCTTCTGGTTACAAAGATCATTTGCACCCATTGATTTGCAGAGTTAGACCTATAAGTGTGGTCAGGAGGGTGCAATGAGCATTCTACAACAGGAGTGTTCTGGCTGGGGTTTCTGTACTGTTTCCCTGCATGCCTGTAGCCTTCTGCCTGGGTCTCTTCTTTTGATGCATTTGTTGAGCACTGCTGTCTGTGGAGCACCGCCACTGTCCTGTAACAGAGCCCTGTCGGCACTTGCTGCGATGCTGGTGTGGAAGGAGGCATTGTAGCATCTCTTTTTACCCTTTTTACTAAGAGATCCCACGGCTGTGTGTGACCAGGCCCAGCAAGGCACTCTGCCTGGGCTGTAGGACCCAGCACTCCCTGCCAAGGAGGGAAGGAAAACTGCTGCCATCAGGATGACTTTCACGCGTGCCTCTGGCACTGCGCTGCAGGGCTGGCAAGGCACAGGCATTGTGCTTTGTTTTGTGCTGGCTGCTGAGAGTCAGGGCTTCAGACAGAAGATGTTTATTAAAAATACCCACTTAAATGTTATCTGAGTTCCCCGAGGGTGGAGTGGAAAACTGTGTTAGTAAATATGCTGGATCAGAAAACATACTACTTTGGGTCCAATTCTTCTTTCTTCACTGGAGAAGAGCTCTCGCCATCATCACCAAGATGCAAAGTTAGCCTCTTTTTTATAAGTTGTCATAATAGGGAGAGGGGGGAAAAGTGTAAATAGTGTCATTTTCTGGGAGAAATAATACATGGATGAAAACTTTTCTGTCCCTACAGCAAGGCTGAAGTAGTTTCAAGCAGGCTCAAGTGAGGGGTGGAGTTGGTCCTCCTGTGCTTGCTGTGTCTGCTGCCCAGTGCTCCCTGGGGCAGCCAAGCCCAGTGGGAGGGCAGAGGGTTACTGCCTGCCTGAGCAGCTTCTGCCACACTGACATCAGGTTAAAGATGAAGACCAGGCTTTCCGTGGAATGAGTGACATGTAGCAGCCTGCTGAGATGTTGGTGATATCAGGATACTGATTTTTTTTTTTTCTACTAAGCACATGGCTGTTAATACAAAGAGCTCTGTGTAGATACTAACAATTAAGCCTAATTTATAAAATAGGGACACTCCTTACCTGAAGTTACTATTTTCAGTTATATAAGGGACTGCTGATCTCTCATTTCTAGATTGGTTCACTGAAGCTTTGGGGTTCACAGGGAAATACTGGTTAGATGCATATTTTTGTCCTTGGAAATTATGGATATTCAGGAACTATCAGCTGCTTTTTAGGTGTACAGAACAAATCCAACTTCTAAGTAAAACTGATGGCATTATACCAGGCATTAATTTGGTTCCTCATGCAAATCCCTCTAAAACAGCAGGGAAAAATATACACAGGTGACTGAGTGCAACTGAGGATCTATTGAGTTGTAGGCTCCCAGCTTGTGTAGGTGCCTTTGAAAAAGTTACTCTGGAGGTTGTTTAACCAAGACATAAAAGGAGCTGTGGTGTGCTGCATGCAGGTCTGTGGCATGCAGAAAGTGTGTCACACCTGCTTTCTGCCATGTGCCCTCAGCTGAGCCACAGCACAAGGTGCACAGCTCTAGAAAAGAGGTGGATAGCATGTCTGTTCACAGCTTTCTCACAAAAACTGCAGAAACTTAATGATTTGAGGCCTGACCTGGTTCTCCTTCAGAAAGGGAACTCCTACTGAAGCCCAGCAGCTTTTGGCATTCAGGAGAAGAGGCAGCATTTGGACCTTCTCTACAGAGAAGAGAAAGCTGTGTCTAGGGAAGCCCAGCAGAAGTTTGCAGAGGACTAACATGCTTGCTTTGTTATTCACTGGGTTTGTCCCTTTTAGACTGTAAGCCCTCCAAGGCAGGAACCTCGGTCCCTGTGTTTGTACTGGTGCCCTGATTAGGGCATGTTATGTGAAATTATCTGTATTTCATAGCTGCCCAGCCTTTTACTATCTGTATGTCTCAGATAACACTGTTTACAGTCAGAAGAGCATTCTGTAAACATTTAGGCCAGAGAATAATGTAAGGATCCTCTTGCAAAGTTAACAACTAGAAGTTGAAGTTAGCAACTAGAAGCTGGCAGAGAGAGCCATGGGCACGCCAGGACAGTTCTGCTCTTAGCAGATGGTTTGCAGTCCACTAATTATGATTCATCCAGTGTCCTAGAGGTTGGGAGGGCTTTGGACATTTCTTTGAGCAATGTAGGTATTGTACTGCAAAGATGATCCTTTTCGAATGCGATGGAGAACAGAGAAAGGTTTCTCCTCTTTTGTCTTTACTGGTGAATCCTGAGCATACACCTTCTCAATATTTAGCAGTACTGGGATCCCCTTGTGGAAAGATAAGCACAATTGTGTGCATTTTTGGAATGCAGAGTATTTGTACAGCTAACTACATGATGATAGAGGTTTTATTCAGTCTTAGAGAAAATTTCAGTGTGGAAAGGCAGACACACTGGTTAAGTGAGAGAGTTCAATAGAAAAAAATAAAAGTGCGTATCCTGGTAAATTCCAGGAGCTTTGAAATTTCATTGCTGTTTATAGCTCAAGGCAATGAGAAATGTCTCATGTGTAGTGAGTAAATAAATACAGCACACACAGCGCTCTGCAGATAGGTTTATCTCATTTTAGCATTATACTAAATGCTGTCTGCAACCTCCATAAATACCACAAGAAGTGAAATGGCTTACACGATAATTAAAAAGCTGTTTCTGCTGAGAGTCAGCCCCCCCCTCCTCCTTTGCCAGAGGAGCTGAGCTGTTGGGCGGGCGCTGATCGCTGCACACAGGTGAAAGCAGCTTGGAGCGCGGGAATCCTCAGCAGCACTGGTCAGGCTGTCGAGGTCGTCAGGGCCTTTCAGGGAACTCCAGGACAGAGCAGCTGTATTTTTAGAATGGAGGTCCAGCAGGAATTTGTGCGTGGTCATAACACTGAATATTTTAACTGTGGGCTGTAGCCTGTCTGTGCTCCGTTGACCATAAAGTTCGCCTGCCAAGTACATTCTCATTTAGACCTTTCCAAAGAATTAAAGGCAAGGCTGTAGAAGTGGCCTTATAGACTGCCTATATATCAACTATATATCAACTGCCTGAGAGAGAAGCAGGAAAGTTTGGATCTCTTGTGGTGTCCCCTCTGCAGATCATCTGGTCTATCTGCCCCTGTGGTCGCTAGCTGAGAAGTCAGGGTGACATTTTTTTGCCTGTTGTGTTGAGATTTCAGTTTTTAGGGGAACAGGACAAAATCCCACTGCCTGTTCACGAAACAGTTAATTGTGAGAGGGCCCAGCTTTGGCTGGGACTATGGATAAGTCACACAGCATTCAAAATAAATCTCTCTCTCTTCTAATTTAGCATCTGAACAACGCCTGGGAGTCAGCGTCCTGTGGGAAGATCGAGGATCAGATGGCTCTGACAGATCAGGCACGCAAATACATGGCCACCTTCCCCACCCGGACTCTGGTGATGTGAAAGGGTCGACACACAGAGAAGCATTATGGTTTTGAGAACACTTCACCTCCACTGGGAAATTCCTGTTCCTCTACATGAGAACTTTTCATGAATGGGAGAAGAGCCTATCTTTGTTGTGGTACAACAGTTGGGAGCAGCACAAAGTGCATTTAGTCACTCAGCATATATATTCTTGTTGGATTTCACCCAACTTAAGAGTTGTGTTTTTTTAAGGATACTTGCCTAAATTATTAGGTATTGAGTTTGAATCAGTAATTAATGATCTTAAGTGCAGTCTTATAATAAAGATAATTTTTCTTGTACTTTTTGAGATCAAGCAGACTTAATACACCAGTATTGTTATTTCAGTGATGTGCTAGCCAGGGGTGGGGTTTAGTTTGTTTCTTTTTTTTTTTATTATTTTTTTAATTTTGTTTTTTAATAATAAAAGAGCAGGTACTCAAACAGATGTATTTTAAATCACTGAACAAAATGAATTGGTGTAGAATACCGAAGTGAAAAGCATTACTACAAACGCTTGTCTGTGCAAAAGGGGAAAGCTGATCAAGATCGTGAATGCTCAAACATCCATGCCTCTTGAAAAAACTCCTTTCTGTTTTGGTTCTAGGCCATTATACATTGTGTGTTTCTGTTGGGGGGGGTGGGTAATTAGCTTGCTTTAAAAAATATTACTGTATGAAACATAGATTTATCAGAAAAATTATATTTTTATTCAGTAATTTAATTTTGTAAATGCCAAATGAATACTGTGTTTTGCTGCTACAGACCTTAGCGTGTAGACTTGCTGCTAGTGTAAAAGGAGCAGTAGAGCTTTATATGGAAAAAAACAAATGTTGATGTTAGCTAATTGACTATGCACTAGCATTTCAGATTTTTTTTGTTTTAATTTTTTTTACATCATTTATATTTTTTTCCCCTTTTTTTTTACGAGCAATATTTTTGAACACTGTTCTTGGGAGATTTTTATTTGTGTGGATGTGTTGTTTTGTTTCTCTTTGGTTTGTAACAGCATGCATTGCACCTTCATATGTTTGGGAGAACACTGTCTTGTTCATGTTGTCTCTTTTGTTCCATGTCTAGCTAGTTGTTCCCTAACTTGGGTCTTGTGTACCGAATCAGGTTCTTAGAAATACATGGTTCTTTGTACTGCCGTATCAGATCTTTACTGATATGGCAAAACACTGATTTTATTTTTTATTTTTTTTTTAATTTTTTTTGGTGTTTTTATAAGAGCCTCTGACTTTGCTGCCTTAATAGCATTTGGTGCAGCTTTATCTGCACTTAATTTTTTATACAACAATGTACTGCCTTGTAGATAAATAAAGTGTGTTCTTTTTTACTTAAACCTGCATGGCCTCCTAATCTTATTTGTCTTCAATTTTTTGGCAGTGGTGTTAAAGGCAACAACCAAGCCAAGAAGGCTTTTCCCAGCACACCTAGATAAGCAAGGAATAGAGTTTTGCACATCATAGCCTCAAAATCCTCGGTTCTCATTGATTGTTAAGGAAGTGGAGAGAAGACAGCACAAAACAGCCAGTCCTGAGCTCAGTTGTGGTCTCAGAGCACATCTCTATTGACACCAAAGTCCAGGTCAGCTTCAGTCAGTGGGAGACTCGCTGCACCTTTTGTGCAAAACTGCCCTTATCCCACAATGCTGGCTAATCTATTTTTTCAACTAAGGACAACCAGGTCAGGAACCAATTGAATAAGAGAAAAATATTCTGGAGTTCTTGTAACTGTAGAACAGGCTGTTTTCATGCTTGTCTTAAGAAAAGAGAGGTGAGAATGTGCTTTGAAACCCTGGTGCACTGTGCTTCACAGCAAATAATTGGACAGACCTGCAAGAGCCTCACACAGCTGACGTGCTGAGGGGCTTTCAGCCCCAGGAAGGCTAGAGATAAAAGCAATTCCTGACAAAACAAACAAACAAATAAAAGGCATCCTGTCAGAAAAGAAAAAAAAGCATTTTATTGAGTAGCTTGAAAATAAATTGCTGAAATGTAAGCTGATGCAAATGCTTCGAAGTTACGCTGATATTCATGAGAGCAGACATCGGTTCTGTGATGAAGGAGAGGCCATGGGTGTGCTGAGCCCCAGAGGTGCTTTCCAGACCTTTTTGCTCCTTACCCAGCCCCTCCCAGCTGAAGCCCCCTCCAGGTTGTTTTGTGTGCTCCTCATTCATCCCTCCTGTGCTTTTTGGGCTCTCAGCCCAGCACTGGGGGCCAGGGAGAGCCCCAAGACAGGCTCCCAGCAGTTTCCACAAGCAGGACCTGGGGCCAGGCGTGGATGCCGGAGCAGGGGAAGGCTGCAGGAGCCCCTGCCTTGGCCAGAGAAAACCTTGTGCAAGATGTGAGGGCCCTGGGGGACTCAGTGGTGTGCAGCACGGGAAGAGGGAAAGGCCTGCCTTGAGGCATGCCACACGGCTTAGGCAATGTGTTACAGCTTTTACAGAAAAAAAAGGAAAAAGAAACGCCAAGCTTACCACAGGACTTCAAGGCAAAACTCCTGCCTTGTACGGCTCCAGTGGTAACTTCACAGATCCTGGCTGAGTTTAAATAGACTATTATCCCAGAGCTGGGAACCATGGAAGCTCAGCCTGCAGGTGCCCAGAAAAAGGAGTGGGCTTTTTTTTTCCCCTTACACCCTCTGTTGCTTTAAAATCCATTTTAAACTCACATAACTATTACAATAATTGTCTTCTTGATGGGTGCGCTTACATCTAATGGTTATTTTCCCTGTTTCTTGTTTCACTGAAAATGCAAAACACTCAGCAGATTCAGGCCAGTTTGTGTATGTTTCTGCATGAATGTGGTGCCCAGCATGGGTGAAGGAAGAGGCTTTCTTTGGATGCTAGACCCAGGAAACTGATTATTTTCCCTCTACCAATAGTGGCTACACTTCCTTCGCAGTAAAGTTCCACCTCCTGCACATCTTTCTCACACAAATATCCCGTGTGAACCCTGCTCTTCTCACTGTCTGAAATACACATCTTCCAGAGGCCCAAGAGGAGTCCCACATCTCTGGCAGATTCCATCTTGAGCCAGTCAGGCAAGAGCTGTCCTGAGAGGAGTCCATGTGAATGGTTTGGTGACTGCTACCTGACCCAGCAGTGGCCCTTTGCACAGATGTGTGGCCATCCTGGGCCTGTTTAAACCTAGAGTAACCTACCAAAATGAAGGGAAAGCAGGTTCAGTCAAGTTCTCATTTAATGGAGAGTAGATATTTGGCTCAAATTCCTATTAACCTTTTTATCCTCTGTAATTACAACTTAATAAAGTTGTCAGTGGGAATTCTTTTGATTTCTGTGAAGAATTTAAATTATCATTTCAGCATGTGCCACTAATTAAAAATGAAGAGGCAAAGGAGCCTGGGCAAAAAATAATGAAAAGTACCAGAATATGAGGTGTTTCCCAGATAATTCCCTGTCATTCTTCATCCTTCTATGCAGGCTGGGGGGTCAACTCTCACAGGTCTGACCCATGTGACAGCTAGAAGCCTAAACTGAAAAATGGCCAGAGTTTGAATTGGTTTGGGAGAAAATATTAGAGCTTGAATGAAAGAGGGCTTTGTAGTTAGGAGCCAAAATAAATCTGCCGAGGGTAAAGCAGAGAGCAAGCACAGCATTGAATATTCCGTAGCATAGAGTGATCCTTCAAAAAAGCCAGGAGGTTTTTTTTTTCCTCTGTATTTATCATCTTGATCCTTACCCGTGCCAGATAAATCAATGGCAATCAGCTCTCCTTCGAGCCCACACAGGCAGGCACATAGGCGAAGGATATTTCTGTAACATTGTGACAGGAGCATCATAATCATAACCTCCTCTTACTCCTGCCACATTTAATTGTATCTCTGCCTCATTCCTGATCTGAGACAGGTGTGATGGCAAAGCACAGAACAAAAGGCTTGTTCCTAGAAATCTATTTAAAATGTGTTGGGGTTTTCTTTCTGTTTTGGATTTTTTTGTTGGTTGTTGATTTGTTTTGTGTTAAAGGAGCATGTTAAAAATATTTCTGTTCGGGAAAGAATGGTTCTTTCTTTCTGGTCTGCATTTTGCCTGTGTCCTTGTTTCCTAGCATGGATGGAGTCTGTCATGAGAGCAGATGTTGCTCAGGAGCAATAGTGGAGTTCTGCCTGGGTGGCCAAGGAAAGACACTGGTCACATCTTTCAGTCTCCAGTCTAATGTCTTAATTCAAAAGGAAGTCATGTTTCCTGACCAAATGCACTTGTTCCCTTTGTTTGCCTCTTTTCTTTGAACTTGACTTTGATGTCTCAGCAGTTTTCACTGAAGACCCCGCTACCAGCATAAACTTGTTTGTGACTCTTTTGCTCTCAGTGACTGATGGAGGTGAGATAATGAAGACAGACCAGAGAGGTCCAAATTCTGCCTTCAGCTGTGTTTGCAAGTTGGCAGTGGTTAAACAGCTCATTGTTAAGGGCTGCAAAATGTATTCACTCTGCTATTATTTTTCCATAAATTACTGGTGATCGGGTTGTTGAGTTTGCTTTTGTTTTTTACAATCCCTCTTGATACATGACATTTCTAGAAGGCATTTTTCCAATCCATTTGAGTATCAGAATAGTTGCTGACTTTTTAATTGCTTTCTAAAACAGCCTGTACTTCTCAGACTGTGCAGATCCACTTTTGCAGCCTGGCTCCACTTACAGCCAAGGAAATTTCATTTTGGGGGAAGACAACTTTTACCCCTCGATTCAATCACTACTCATCACCACAGCTCCAGGACGTGCTCTGTGCACACATCTGTCAGAGAAGCGAAGAAGACGAAGAAGAAAGTTTCAGGAAGCTCTCCCCAGACAGGTTTCTACACTAACCATAGAGACCACCTCTGCATCTCCCGGTTCCTGCCAGCCCAGCTGCAAGCCTGCCGTGGCCCTCCTGACACAGTGAGCCCCCAGAGAGCCTTCAAAGGGTGCCTGCAGGTGTGTTTTCCTGCCCACTGCCTCTCATGTTTCATTAGCTCTCATCAGTGTACATCGGCACAGGAGTTATCTGAAGGTGCAGGCAGGCTATCACTATTTCAGTGATGGGGTTTTGATATCTGTGTTCCTACCAGCTCAAGGCAGAGACCTCTCAGGTGCTGGCTCAGCCTCCCTGTACAGATAAAAGTGCTGCTAGCCTGTGCTGCCGCTGGGAAATGGAAATCTGCAAGAGGTTAGAGCTCCTACCTGCTCAGCCAAGCCTTCTTGCACCAAAAAAATAAACTAAGAAACAGCTGTGGTTTGCTGTAGTCAAAGGCCTAAAATACAGTGAAATAATAAAGAAAAGAGAAGATACTTTGCTTTTGTTTTCTGCTCTGCTCATATTGCCCATCCCCTCTGCACCCCTACCCTCTTCATCTCTGTTTCACCAAGGCGCACACCCCTGATGGGGCTCAGGCCCAAACACTGCAGGGGAAGGATTGATAAAAGTCTCTGGTCTCCATAACAACAGTGAACCCAAGCCCATACTTGGCCAGGACTAAAGACATGGAACATTTCCCTGCCCATGGCTGATGTGCTCCTGCCACTCCCACTCAGCAGAGGCCCCACACACTCAGAGTGGTTCCCTTGGTATCCCCAGGCTCAGGATCATCTTCACTGAGCAGCGAGCTCCGATTGTATCTCGAGCAGCATCCTCCAGTCAGGGAGGGACACAAGAGCCTTTCGCTGGAGGTGATATGCTCCTGGCTGGAAGGTCCACCGGGAGTAGGCAAGACAGCCCATGTTACACCCAGCTTTGGCACCTCTCAGCAGCTTCCCACCTGCCCAGGAAGGAGATGGGTTCTCCTGCTGCCCCATGAAGGTCCCACAGC